TACATATTCATTTATCATTTAATAATCATTGTGATAAATTTTGACATATTTGCTTTATTTGGACACATAAAATATATTTGACAATTTTATTATTATGTGATTGCTAGACTTAATTTCTTTTTAATTTTTCATTCTATCATTTCCATATCCTGGAGATGTCCAACTTAAGATCGCAAAGCCAAATACCAACTCCACTTCCCTCGACATAGGGATGAAAGGGATCGAGAACTCGATAGCAAGGAACCGATAATTGCAACATAAGTCAAAAGCGACGCGAGCAAAGGAATATGATAATTGGAAGCAAGCCTAACGGTATCGTAATAAGTTAAGAGTTCCGTTCAAGCATTGGCACTTTTAAAGCTTTCAAATTGCATACATATTCAATTTTAACGTCAGACTACACGAAACCACCAGATGTACTACAACGATGGACGTATGAAGACGGTTGTGTAAGTGAGTCGCCGATGAAGCAGAAGACGCTTACCATTCGGGAACACCTGGATCCGTATTCATAAAACCGTTTTCCTGCCCAAGTACGGCTTTTGTGCTCAAGCCTGATTTGTTGTTCCGGTTATACAAATTGTAAATCAATAACAAAATCCTATTTTGTCAATGATTTGGAAACAACTGAAAAGATTCTAAATCGAATACTATTTGCAATGTTTCTAATGACTTTCTTATCCTTTGACATGATTTAAGTTAGCTAAAAGAAATCTAATTTGAGCAAAATATCCATACTTGAGCATGAGAACGGTTTCGTGAAGGGTCTCCATGTAAATAATTCCTCTATTTATATGTTGCCCTAGTTTCAACGATTGTTATATTCGAATGTTTTTTTTATTTACACTTCGGTATTCCCGTGTTGTTTTCCGTTTCTTTTTGGAATTCGTAGCGACATTATCTGTCAGCAAACTGTAATTAATTAACCCTTATACAATCACTACAAACACGAAGTACGGTAAGATCTATCAGAAGAAGTTTATAAATGCAGAGAGCCAAGCGAAGAACATTTCATTGTGTCATATGGTTATTTCGACCATTAAGGAAGCATCAGTGGTGCTAAGGTCAAATTGATGAAAACTCATTTCAAACGTGTTCTGACAGATGTGTAGAACTATAGAAAAATGGAAAATGTACCTTTTAAAACCTGTATTACGTTAGAAATTTACAACTTTTGACTACAGCAGAGAATTTGATTTTAGACTATTATTTTCTGTAAAACCATGCCCGGTGATATTTCAGCTACAAGGTAACGACTTACCTCGGGGACTGTTACATGCATAATAAACCACATTCTTTCAACTTGTACAGACAAACGGCGTAACCATATTATATATCCAATAAGTCTTCCCTTCTCAAATGAACTGTTCGCCTTATTCGCTACTTTCCGCCACCTGATTTTCGCTAACTATCTTACACTCCCTCTCTTTATTTCCTGTAGTATTAATGCACCAGCAGTCAATGGTGTCCTATCGCTACTAAGTTTGGATACCACAGCAATGACAAAATCTACATAATACATATACATTCTCATTACCAGCTGTTCGGGATACTTGAACCCTATAGAGCAGTGTTATTTATTTCTGGCCTTCCAAATACTCCAGGGGAACGCTCGCTGAAGATTACAGAGGAGCGACAGCCATCGTCTAAGCCAATCATTTTTACCGTTACGCGATAGCGAGATTGTTTATGTACATCGCTATAATGTGTAGATAATCCTACGCGACTAAATATAGTTCTACATGCAAAAACGTGAATCAAATATCAAAATTTATTATTTATTTTCCTTCCTTGCTTATTTTAATATAGTAGGTGCTTGAGTTCATATTTTTAACAAAGAATGCCAAATTACTATCAAAATTTTATGATTTGAAAAAAAAACCGTCATAAAAACTCTGATCATTATGCGTTTTCGATTCTTTCAAGCGCCGAATTTAGAATGGTGGGGAAAGGGAAAAAAGGAGTTGTCTTGTAACCACTTATCCAGGTGATGAAATATAAATACCACCTATGTAAATTCAGTATAGTTAATAACTGTCACAGACGACCCTGGTTATTTTATACCTTCTGCTAATCGCTTTACCTAACGTTGGACTTGGGCACCCTGATACCGTTTTTTATTTGACTTCAGTTTCCTCCGATCAAATAGTTAGACATGCTGGCCTACATAGACTCATAGCTTCCACGAAAATAAAAGTTGACTGTAGCATTTAACGCCGTGTCTCCCCGATAGATTACTTCCTACGTGATTGGTAACAGATGATAATTCGGGGCAGTTTACACAGCTGATTTCTCAGAAGGTCCGAGCCAATATCAGTTTGTTATCAGTGTTTTGATTGGTCAAATCAGCAATATTTTGAAAATATATCGCATGAAAAATATCACTAAGGGAATGAATATTTTTCACTCGAATATTTCACTGGTAAAAGTTGTTATTCAAATATTCTAATTTAAAAACAACAAAAATTAATTGATTAATAAAAACAAAAAAAGATCTGTACTCTAAAGTATGAGTATGAAACCTTATAGATAATGGCATGATAAACCAAGGTATGAGTACACTCTGTTGTATATTTTGGAGATTCTGTCTTTTCACAATAAAATATTGGTTCAGGTGAAGTGCTCGGTATACTGTGCTTCAGGCCACCGTGACAGAACATTTTTTCATGAATAGACAGACGTTTAGTCCTATATTTTGTGGAAGTCGACGACAAAGCCAGGGAGTACCAATCACCAAAGTACGGCCATCAGGAGACAGACTCCGGCGAAGGTTTGACAGACATAGTAATCATTTGCGGGAAGTCGGCCGTAAGCTGGTCAAAAGTCCGGCTTCTCCGTCTGGTCAGCGAAAGCCAAGGAGTCCGGCCATTATATAACAGTACATATCGCTATACATATCAAACAACAAGTTCAGATAAAATAGGGTAATAAATGGATTTTTACTGCACTCTCTCGATCCTTCATTTTTTTGTCCTTTTCCATTTCGCCATCGTTCGCGTATTCATGAAACCCTAATGCTCCCGAATGGATTCTGCGCTCAAACCAACTTTCTTGTAACTGGCTTAAATCGTGTCAAACGATCAAAATGTCAAATGTAAACATTGAAAACAGTATTCGGCCTTATGTCACTTCTATAATTTTCCAAAATAATTGGGACAAAAAATTAGGCTTGATCTCAAAATCCATGTTAGAGCATGAAAACGGTTTCATAAATACGGACCCAGATTCTCTGTAGAATTTGCCATTCTGCTTCAAAACACATCAATATGAAAAAAAATAAGGCAACAGAATTAAAAATAATAATTCTATCGATTTATTTTACAAGCTGTATTCACACGATATAATTATGTTGGACCATTTTGCGGCATTATTTGCCGTAAAGTGTCACCCGGGTCTTTATTTATTGTCATTATTGTGAACAATTGTATGATTGGCCTATTGATGAGGATAAGGCATTTATTCTTGTATTAAAAGTTATAGAAGTATGACGTAAGTTTGTTATTTTATAACGAAACAAGTATTAAAAAAGACAGACGTTTATGACTTCAATTTTGCGAACGATGTTTTCGAGCAAAATTGATCTTAAGATGAAATGGATTATTCTGGGAACTGTTATGGAATCTTACGTACAAATGTACTTGTGATGTCAGAATAATGCTTTGGATAAGGCATCAAAGTGAATTGCTTGATGACATAACTGTAAAATGGCCGGATGCGATATCGGAGTATTCGAAGACAAAGGTATCACTGTCTGTAAGGTCTGCGATTGGTCAAAATTCGACGTCTGGAACCAATCAAATAGCTAATCTTAAACCATGGATATCAAAGATGTATGTTACTTAACAATCGGGAGTAGATCAGTCTAACATAATGAAGAAGAGTTTCAAGATGTCTAACGACAGCAGCAGAAGAGCCAAACTCTACATAAATTCCATCTCTATGCAGATTTGTGTTTCTAGTGAGGCGACTACAAATTACCACTGCATCGGAACACGGGGATGACAGAGTGCGCGCGAGACACGTCCCAGACAATCCACGTGCGTGTCTGTATATGGGACATAAGGATCCTTTTATAGTTAACACACGTTTATAGTTCGCGACCGTTTTCTTGAACTAATTGAAAATCTAGAGCGTTTCCGGTACCGTAGCTTGTAGGTCTGTTTATGGGTTGTGCATTTTGACGTTATGACTACAAGAACTATTGTGGTCTATGTCATGGAAACTTGCGAACTCGGCTGATATCGACATGTTAATATTCGTAGTGTACAGGGACCACGATGGCCGAGTGGTTCAAGCGTCTGCCCGTCTATGATCACTTCCCTCCACAACTGGGTCGCGGGTTCTAGGCTCACGTGGGCCAGTCCCCAGGTACTGGACTTATGCTCCAAATAAGTTTTTGTGCTCAAACCCAATTTCTCTTTCCGAAATAAATTAATAAAACATGACATTTTGTCAGTTGTTGAGAAGAATTTTGGAGAGTCTTCAAGCCAACTACCGTTTAAGATATTAAACAACTGACTTACATTATGATTATACAATAATATGATTACATTACTCGTATTGACGAGCGTAATGTTCAAGTTCCAGATTTAATTTATGTTTTATTGGAAATTGTATTATATTTATATTTTGTAAAGCATTACGGAAAGTGTATTAGTTGCAATAACTTGTGTCCAGTCCTTTTGTAATTATATTGCAATAATATACGTTTAAACTAAACATGATGGTTGACGCTAATGAAAGAAGATGGTTTGTGCACAAAATCAATGCTTACATAGCTATAACTAAAACAAGGAATTTCCATTTAAAAGGTGTTTTTCTCTAGTCTCGTTCAACCAGACGCTTCATCACTAGAAAGACTGCATGCTCTTATAACGGACATGAATTTATCAACTGGTACAAAGCTTGACCAATTCGATACCGCAATAAAACGTATCGATACAATTTGTGAATCGATGTCAAAATTGTCTATAAGGGTTACCTCCCTTGAAAATGAAAACATGTTACTGAATGTCCGTTTATCGGAGTTTGATTCCGATCTCAAAGGTCTTGGAAATGTTTTTGACAGTTTCAACGAAAAGTGTCAGTCAAGCGAACAACTTACCAAAAATGTACGTGATCAAACTATTAGGTTGGAAAATCAGGTTAAAAATGTTCAAGAAGTTTTCAGCAAGTATAAGTCCGAAAAAGAAAAAGAACTTATGGAGGTGGCAGAAAGAAATGATGAAATGGCCGAACAGTTGACAGATCTTAGATGCCGGTCCATAAAGTATCATCTTGTATTTTCTGGTATCTATGAACGTGATCGCGAGGACACTGAATCTGTAATAAGAGAGTTCCTAGACAGACAGCTGGACATCGGTCAACATATCGAACTCGCTAACGTTCACAGGTTTGGCAGGAAATCCAACAAAGGTCCAAGACCAGTAGTAGTCAAATTCATTTTCCAGAAGGAACTTGATATGGTGCTGAAAAACGCAAAGAAATTACGAGGTAAGCCATACAGAATTAACAAACAATTTCCTCAGGAAATAGAGCAAGCCCGAAAAAGCCTCTACCCCAAATTCAAGGAATTTCGTGAGAAAGGTGATCACGTCAAATTGGTACGCGACATATTGTATGTCAACGGACAACCCTATGATGATGTGAGATCCTCTACACCACAGGCCACACGGAGCCACGCAAGTTACAACTCACAGGAAACCCCGAATCGGCGTCGTAATCCAAAACGTGGACGTATGAGCTCTACTCATGAAGGTCCCTAGGGACGCGAAGGGAACAACACGAAGTCTAATGATGTTAGATTTTCAAACCACCATCTTAAGGTTCTTTCACTCAACTGCTGTGGAATCAAGCGTAGACTTAATTACCCCGAGTTTCAAAGTCTAGTTTCGAAGCATGATATCTTATGTTTCCAGGAAACTAAAACTGACGACTTGGATGTGTTGAAATTGGAGGGTTATGAGTTTGTTATGAAAAACAGGAAAAAATACAGTAAAACAAGGTCAGGAGGGATTGTATTAGGTTTTAAATCTGAATTGAAGAAATACTTGCATGTACACGAAAACGAAAGTAGCTTTGTTTTATTGGTTGAATTGTCCAAAAATCTTATCAATTTAGATAAAAGTGTAATAATTGGCGTAGTATACATCCCACCCGAATATTCCAAATAAAGTAGCAGAGATGCATTTAATAGTATTGAATATGAAATGCACCAACTAATGAATGATGACAAATATTCATTGTTGGTTGGTGACTTTAACGCCAGAACCGGTGCAGAAATTGATTATTTAAATTTCAATAGCGATGAACATGTAGTTGACTTTTTCCCCCACGCATTTTATCCTGAAAATATAGTTCAACAGGTCAGAAATACCTCCGATAAAACTGTAAACCCATTTGGGAGATTACTCCTGGAAATGTGTAAAACTAATAAGGCGACACTACAAGTGGGAATACTACGTGTAAAAGGTCAAGCGTAGTTTACTACGTCATTTCTAGTCACAATCTTTTAGAATATATATATCAAATATGTCGGTTGGTGATGTAGATACACTCTTATCTGACGTACATGCTCCCATCACATTGTCTCTCAAATTTCCTTCAAATTCCCCACAAACCCCGGATAATAATCGTTGCACTGAAGTAATTAAGCAGTGGGATAATAGTAAACGAGACATGTTCGTTAGGACAATTAATGTTGAAGAGATTAACAACATGATTGACGGCATAGATCAACTATTTCAATTGCACGAAGCCACAGCGGAATCGTTTAATCAAAGTGTAGAAAAAATGAATACAATGTACATAAATGCTGCAGTTACTGTATTCGGAACATTTAAAACGGGTACTCGAATCACTAATCAATTAAATGATGACAAACCTTGGTTTTCTTCAGCAGGTAAACAGACACGAAAAAAATACAGGAAAAGTAAGAATTATTTTACTAGATGTAAATCGGATAACGCTAGATCTTATATGGCACACACAAGAAAGTATTATAAGTCAATTTTAAACAAAGACTTGGCTAAAAACAGGAAAAAGGTTAAAAAACAATGACATGAAATGAAGTAAAAAAATCCTAAAGAATACTGGAAGATAATCAATCCAAAGAAAAGTAAGCATAATGACATAAAAAATTATCTACTGAAGCCTTATTTAACTTTTTCCGTGACCTAAATAATTCACCTACTATCAGCTCAGAAGCAAAGCAAGAACTTGAAAATAAAACAGGCAACGTTGATTTACAACAGATTAACATCAGACTTAATGAACCAATATCAATTACTGAAATAGAAAAATGTGTTAAAAACTTGAAAAACAACAAATCAAGCGGTGATGATCAGATCAAAAACGAATACATTAAAGCTACCAAAGAAATAATGCTACCTTTTTATGAAAAACTTTTTAATATTATATTCTCAAAGTATTGGGTCGGAGGAAATATTATACCAATTTTTAAAAATAAAGGATCTGTATTGGACCCTAAGAACTATCGACCCATTACCATTCTGATCTGTGTAGGTAAACTATTTACAGCAATACTTACCAATAGATTACCTAAATTCTCTGAGGATTTTCAGATCATAAACGAAAACCAATCTGGCTTTCGTAGAGGTTATTCCACAATTGACAATATCTTCACCGTACATTTGCTATTTGAACTAATCAAAAGTCAAAAACGGAGGAACATATATTGTGCCTTTATTGACCTTGAAAAGGCCTTTGATACTGTTTGGCGTGAGGCACTATGGCACAAATTATTAGCTAATAACATCAATGGAAACATGCATAGAATTATAGTCAATATGTACAGTGAGATAAAGTCAAGAATAATAAATAATGGAGAAACGTCAGATTTCTTCAGGTGTGAAAATGGAGTCAGGCAAGGTGAAAATATGTCATCTTTCCTTTTCTCCATCTTTCTCAACGATATACAATGTTTTTTTTATCATCAGAGAATGTCATCGGGCTTAATTCGGTATCTGAATTACTTGAAAACAAGCTCGGTATGTACTTAAAGCTATTTTATTTGATATATGCAGATGACATTGTATTATTAGCAGAAACCCCAAACGACCTTCAAAACATGCTGGATGGTTTCAAAACATATTGCGATAAATGGAACATGAAAGTAAATATTAGCAAGTCAAATATCATGATTTTCAGTCGAGGGAGAATACCTGATGATTTGAGATTGAACTATGATGGCAAACCGCTTGAAATAGTCAAGGAATTTAACTATTTGGGTATTTTATTTTGTAAATCTGGAAGTTTTTCAAAAGCAAAAAATATACTAGCGCTTAAAGGAACTAGAGCCATGTACGAGGTACTGAAAAAGGGTAGATTGCATAATCTAACAATACAGTGTCAACTTGACTTATTTGACAAAATTGTTATACCAGTTTTATTATATGGTTGTGAAGCATGTTTTTTTTTCTAATAATACCGTCATAGAAAGAGTCCATTTAAAATTCTGCAAATTATTACTTCACCTTAAATCTTCTACCCCTGACATCATGGTTTAATGAAAGCTCGGCAGGCATCCTCTTGGTATAGAAATTAAGACCCGAATGATATCATATTGGTCAAAACTGATTCGAGGTAAAGAAAGTAAAATAAGTAATATTTTGTATAGATTATCAATTATCATCAACGAAGAAAAAAAATGGTTCCTTCGCATGCCTGGAAAGCATAAAGAGTACTCTGAATAATTGCGGACTCTCTAATATCTGGTTAAACCAAAATCCAATTAATCCAAAGTGGCTTGTTTCAAAAATAAAATTTATCTTTACTGATCAGATCAAACAAAACTGGGCAGAAATATGCAGAGATTCTCGGAAAACCACCATATACAGAGTCTTTAAGGAAGAAGTCGTGTTCGAAAGCTACTTAAATATTCTCTCAAAAAATTATGCTTATACTCTTTGTAGGTTTAGAACCAGAAATAGTAACTTACCTGTAGAAGCCGGAATTAGGAGTAATATACCAAGACATGAACGTATTTGTCAATTGTGTAATGTAAGAGATATTGGAGATGAATTCTATTATATATTTGAATGTCCGGCATTAGATAATGAAAGGACGTTTTTCTATCCTCTATGTTAATTAGACGTCATAGTGTATTACCGCTTAAGTCATCTAAAAGAAAAGCATTCCTGAAAAAACTATGTACTTTTTATCAACAAAAAAAAATTCTGTCTGTTCCCCTGCATGAAAGTATTTATTATATGTAACTGCAGTACATCTTCGTTTCTATTATTCCTTCTTTGCGTATTGCAGAGTTATCTTCTCTTGAGAGCAGGTATTGATTGTTACGTCATTTATTTGTGAGAGTAACGTCATCAATTTTTGAGAAAACGACGTAATTTTCTCACACGAACCAATGACGTAACAATCAATACCTGCTCTCAAGAGAAGATAACTCTGCAATACGCAAAGACGGAATACTGTATCCCTCTATATAACCACGCATGCTAATTACTGTACATGAAATCTTTATATTTATATATCTCAGTATACCATTGTAATGCAAAGGTGTTGAGACAAATAAAATCAATCAATCAATGCATCACTTGTAATTCTCTGTTCGGCTTAGCTTGCGCAGGCAAAAAGAGTCTGGTTGAACGAGACTAGTTTTTCTCTGTCTCTATTACGTAACCATTTCTTCTACATAAAATTATGTACATGTTGTATATATTTTATATAAACGGCATGGCTGTCGATCTGTTTAATTTGGATTTAAGGTAGAATGCTCCACAACCATTCACCTATATACATGCTTCGGAAAGTTATCTTCGTTTTTAATTTACGTTATTTTTTCTTCTTCCCCAAAACTCTTACTAGGTATTGGAAACTGTTTTTTCCGGCCTAACTATATCTTTGAACAATCAATTCTGAAAAGAAACCAACACATTGCAGGACGTTTATAAGAAACAATAAAGATGAATTAAACAGTATATAATCACCAATAGTGTAATGACTTTAAATATCAGCTGGTAAACACCCGGATTTGAACCCCTTTTAACACCATTGCTCTGACCGATTACAAGCTTTCCGGTCCAAGGATGTGTCCATGACCTAATTGTACTCGGAACTCCTCGGGTGGATCGTCCCTACGGAGCGTAGCGGAGTGACTCGGGTTTTGTCTATTTGCCCTAGTTGCACTACCGTACATGTAATATCCAAACGGAAGTTAAGGGGGGAGGGGCTTCTGTATATAGGGAAACCTACAATGGCTGTGGGACAGGGATCCTTAAGCAATATTTCAAGAAAAAGTAACAGCGACAATACAGATATAACAGACATTTGACATAACATGGTGCTACAGAGCCTTTATTCAGAACAAAGTCGGCTCTGACAGGCAGAATGATCCATAGGATGTCTAAACGAACAATTGAACAACGTTTTGTGTGGACTTTTTGCTCTCAAGACAATTGGACGCTACAATATATACTGACAACAAATGTCCGGTATTTACACTGCGAATGTTCAGGACCAAGACCATTGTTGTCATGGCATTTTCAATACAAATCCCCCTACTATGTATGAAGACCCTCGAGGTGTTCCGAAAAATATAATCGTAGACCCTCGTCGCCTGTTAACAAAACCACTCACAATAGCCGTCTCCGACACGTCGGTATGATGGTTTCCGATCGATGTTGACCATTGTCACAGTCAGACACACCGCCATTGTTGTCTTACAAAACACAGAGCCGAGCTGGACCGGACTTTTTATTTAGAGAAGTCCTGTATGCCACGTCAC